TTTCGCCTGTGCACAAATATTCACGGTTATTTCTTGTAATTCATTAATTTTCTATGAAATTACGCATTTCTAGAAGATTTTAAGTGAATTTTGACTAGAAAATTCATAAAATACAAAGAAAAATATTGTTTTCTTTACAAAATTCACTTTTTTGTACAAAATTTATTGCATCTTTTGAGGAAATGATACAAATTTTACTTTTTCGTTGATTTCTCATAGGTAAAAACACTTTTAACAAGTTTTACTACCAGAATTACACCAAATGCGGTGTAGCTTCTTTATAACAAGGTTTATAAAGGTGATGTTTCATCGAGGAACAAAAATATAACCAAATATTAAGATTTTACCTGAATTGGCATCTGCTTAATTTTTGTAAGCTGGTTATAAACTCAATTACTCTTGTAAAAATGCCGGTAAATATTTCCTGTGGTCTAAATATGAATTCCACGTTTAAATGATTTTGTTGTAACTTCTTGTGAAATTTATAAACAAAAATAATAAATTTTAAAACTTTCAAGAAAAAAAGTAAAATTCACTTATTTTTCTTACTTTTTTCGCCTGTGCACAAAGTGCATGCCAACTACAAACATTAACTAGAAACGGTTCAATTAATTCGCGCGTTGCTTCTCCCAAAGACGCTCACCTTTCCGCTCGTTTATTCCAGTTACACATGTATCCAGCAAGCAAGCGCGCAAGCGACGGCGTATCAATTTCCTCCGAGTTTTCCCCTCGCCTCTTGCAAGATTTTCCAACGCCGAGGCGCGATCGATATGAACTGCCAACATTGTGCCAACACAAACGAAAAGGACGGAGAGTGCCGGCGCGAAAAAGAAACAGACACGAAGCAAACGCAAAAGCAGCTTGGGATCCGAATACGTCTCGTTTCCAAGCAAACGCAGCTACAACTTGTGCTGTATTTCCTTCTCTTCTACACAACAGCACTGAAAGCAGCGAGAGCGATGGATGTATCGTGTTCAACACGAAAGCGACTTTGTTGGCTTGCCCCGACATATTCAACATGTTCAGCGTGTGCGTGAGGCGCAAACCCGACCGACCAAGGACTCTCCTCGCCGGAGACCCGTAATCGTTCTTGTCATCAAACTAATTGGCCTCCGCGCACACCAACTTTACAACCACTTTCGGAATTGCCGTTGTTGCCCGAGCATGAAACCGCGCGCGGACATTTCGACTACTTATTCCGATGCCATCGAAAATATTCCACCAGAGAAGATGATATATAAAAATAAAAGTCAACCCGTCATTTGTGATGTTAATGTATATAAAACCCGCCCGGAGTCCTTTTATGATACTTTACGATGCGAGGCGTCGCATTTTAATAGATTTATTAAGCGGCGCAATTAAACTGGAATCAATTACGAGTACATACCACCGGACGGTCAATATGCGACTCGAGTCCACGATTAGCCGCCTGGTTTGGTGGAGACGACGGGAAATTACTACACACTCACCTAGAACAAACAAAAAGAGCACATTATAGACCACGCGCTATTAAAATCGGCGTAATGTGAAATTACGCGATCGTTGCGCGCTGCTAATGGAATAAATCAAAGCGTTAATTACGATTTAACACGGGAGCAGAGCAACACTAGAAACAGCAGCGCCAGTACAAGCAGCGCTGGTTCTAATCCTCGGCGTACAAGCAGCGCACCAACGAATCGAATTACATTCGTGTTAAACGAGGCGTAAATAAATGTTCAGATGGAATTTTATGTGTGTACCTACGCAGTAGTCACATTATATATTTAAGTTTATTAATCTTCGAGACTCTTTAAAACGATATACTACATGAAAATAACTAGAAAAATAGCAAATATTATTATTTTACGTAAATTTGCATTTGTTCAATCATTGGAAGGTGGTTATTTGTTGCCTAATATGTTTATAAATAAATATTCACGGTTATTTCTTGGAATTTCATTAATTTTCTATAAAATTTCGCGTTTCTGGAAAGATTTAAATAAATTTTGATGAGAAATTGCAAAAAATACGAAGAAAAACATGGTTTTCTCTTCTAAATTTCACTTTTTGTAGAAAATCTACTGAATCTTTTGAAGAAATGATGCAAATTTTACTTTTTCATTGATTTCTGGTAGGTAAAACCACATTCAACAAGTTTTACTACCAAAATTACTGCAAAATACAGTGTAGTCTCATTATAGCGAGGTGAGGTGTATTTAAATAGGTGAGTTTTCATCAAGGAAAAAAATATAACCAAATATTAAGATTTTACGCAGATTGGCATCTGTTTAATCTTTGTAAGCTGGTTATAAACTCAATTACTCTTGTAAAAATGCCGGAAAATATTTCCTGAAGTCTAAATATGAATTCCGCGTCGCTCAGTTGTATTCACTTGTGTTATGTTTAAATAATTTTGTAGTAACTGCTTGTGCACCCCAACAAATTAGCTGAAAAATCGTGCTTAAGTTATAAAAGTTTGCATTGCAATTTGTAGGGATGTTGGGATCATAATTACAATAATATTTCAAATGTTATCATCGATGTCATGTCTTTAAAAAAATATTCTAGCTCATAATTGCTTGAAATAAAATTATTTTTGGTCGTTACCCAGAAAAAATTAATATAAATCAACTTAATTTTACAAATTTCGACTGTTATATCGAGTTTTAAAATATTGCTATAATAAAATCCCTACAAGACTAATTCCTGATTTTTTGCATTGAAAAAGTATCAAAAATGCTATTAATTGATTGCCGCGCTTTTGTTTAGGAATTTATGTGAAATTTTGTATGTTTTTTTTTTTGGGGAAAATTTCAACTTCAACCCCGTTTGCACTTTGCCTTCTCTCATCGATGGCGGTGGCGCGCCAATGCGCACACGCATCCCGCCTCCATCCCACTCCCAGAGCGGCGGCGGCGGCGGCGGCCTTTTCCGCCAGCACTGCGGAAGCTGTTCGTCTCGCACTCTATCTCTCGCACGCGATACGCCCCGCTAGTAATCGATTATGTTCTCACTGTCATTCGAATGCACAATATCATTTCGCATTATGTGCTCTTGTATATTGCCTGCCTGCCAGCTGAATACAACGTGAATGCGAGAATGTGAATATTCGCCAGCCGGCAATACCGCGCTATATCTATCTGTTTGTTGGTACGTGCCCGCTCTATCAATATCAAACGGAGATAAACACGCCGGCACGCAATGTCATCGCACACACACACCACACATAAACAAAATCACTTTTGATCTCGACGTGTGTTTAGTTTTTATATTGCTGCGAAATTATCGGAAATTTTTGGAATGCGAATAATGCGAGATGAGAGTACACAGGCAATTTGCGACGCTCGAGAAAAAATTATTTTTACAGCTTCACGGCTCACAATAAAATTATCCATTCAGCTCGCACGGCGTTCGAGCAGCGAGCCATGAATATAATAAATTTGTTTTTATACGCTTGTAAATCTGATTAGTGTCAGTTTATGGCGGAATACGAGAATAAAAACCTAGAGCTTCATTTTTTAAAAATCGCTCTGCACAGCGCATCATCTTTTATTTATTTAAATTCAAAATTTAAAAAAAAAATAACAAGTATTGTTATTTTTATCCTGGACTAGCTGTTGCCCGCGACTTCGTTCCGGCAGTGTTTAATAAAAATGTAATTCGTTTTTACTCTCTTGTTCTAGACATACTCGTAGTAAGAATCGATTCTATCAATAAGATTTGCAATTTTAATTTAAAGAAATTATGCATATAAAGTTTTGTCAATAATGCACTTCAGCGCGCCTCTCGAATTCAACTATTTAACTATAACTATGATTGAATCTCAATGTCAAATTTTATTCTATAGAAAAGAGCTGTTTTGAGGATTTTCCCGGCAATTATTCGAATTTTTCTCACCTTTTAAACCTTCCCTAGACCTCCACGAATAATTCAAGACCAAGATAAGATAAATCCATTCAGCCGTTCTCGAGTTTTAGCGAGACTAACGAACAGCAATTCATTTTTATATATATATATAATATAATTATTTCGCAGACAACATTTCGACGCGCGCATTTGTCACATACATTTCAACCATGATCGTTGAGTTTAAAAATGCATCGGTCGACGTTCGCGTAAGTATAATTCAGGCAGCTGTTTACCGAAAAACCAGACGGGTGCACACGCGTCATACAAATGCGTTTTTGCATTGCTAAAAACCAAAAACACACGAGATTCTAGATTTATCTCCACTCCACCCAAACATACTGTATACAAATGCATGTGTAAAAGTAAAAAATGAAAAGCTAAGCAAACGCAGCACAAGCATAAACATCGCGCAGCGCGTAATGGGTCGAAATGGTCGGCACGAAATGAGCTAAGTTTATTTGCGGCGCGCTCGTGTGCGCATTGTACCCACACCATGCCTGTCGGCGGGCGTCGTTCGTCGTCGCGTTACGTTTTCTCAACGGGCACCGCGCGGCCGCGCCGAATCCGTTTATCTTTTTACGACGGTAATGAAAATAAATTATTAGCGGACGTAATCGCAGCCAATAAATATTAATGAGGAAACAATTTCAAAATTTCTGCACAGAGAGCTTCTGAGATGTGTAGGTATGGAAAATAAATTGATTTTCCAATGTCCAGCAAGGCGTTAAACAATACTTCGCGTGCGCCGCATGTGACACGTTAATTAATAACGTTCGTTGGCTTTGTTCTATTTTCTATCAAAAAATCACTAAATTTCTGTGTAAAAATTTATTTTTTCTGGCTTGAGTTGAATGCTGGTAACCCAAGACGCCAACGTCAGCATTAGACAGCCGAGAAGAACTTGGGATCGCTCGTTTCGGCGAACCAACGCAACCCAAACACATTCCCTCTGCGCGACCACAAAACGACTAGAAAATGCTAGGTATATGAGTGCGACAAAGATGAAATATACAGCATATAAATGTATAAGACAAGGATACACTCTTCGATACCTGCAGTTGAAGCAAAATTTAAACAATCTGCGCACATTGACACATCGATAATGCAGTTACCTCTAAAGCGTAAGATGTATGGCTGTTCTCCTGCCGAAGAGCACCGATTAACTCCTTCCGTTGTGCACAATATACCCACACACAAACACAACCTGAAAAAATACCTCAGATGCAAACATTGATAACGTGAGATAATCAATGGATGAATTTTTTTTGTTAGTGAGTTGGTGGTTTACTTACAATGTACTCCGAATGTGTATCGTCGTCCTGCAGCAGTAACTCCCTTACGTAAATGGCATATATCTCCACAAAGCGGCAAACACACTCTCACAGACACACACAGAGGGCACTGAGGTATACACTACACCTACACATACACAACTCTAGACGCAGCACTGTAACGACACCAGCGGCGACATCATAAGCGCCGCGCGAAAAACACGCCGATCCACAACAACGCGCGCGTTCGTTGTGCGTGTTTTCACGCCGCACCGAAGAACAGCATCGCGCACACACTGCGCGGCCGAAAATGTCGAGCGAATATACAATATACACTGACTTACTCACACTCACGCCGCACTGCAAGTCGCTGGCGAGTCCGTCGATCGACACCACATCAAAATCGTTAATCCCACAGGCGTCGGCCCGTTGTTGTTCGCTGTGTGTGCGGAAAGCGCTGTGCTGGGAAATGTTTGGCGATGAGGTCGAACACGGCACTCGGACGCAAACGCACACTGTACGGTGGTGACTGGCGGGCGAAGCCACTCGACTAATGTGGCAGCCATGACAATATTCCGCAGCGCGAGCGGCAGCGATCCACGGCGAGCGGGCACGACGCCGGCGAACGCCCTCTCTCACTCTAACTCATAGAAATTTATATTGTGTTCACACTCACACTACAGCTTGTGGTGATTGCGCGTTGTACAGACGAAAAAGGCGCACGAAGCACGAAGAGAGAAGCGAGGTGCCGGTGAATGCCGCGCCAGCGCGCGGAGTATATACGTGTGTGTTTTGCCTCCATGCATTATTCGTTCAGCTCGTTTGGGCTTGTTGGTCGTCGCCGGTCGTTCGGGGCGCTCGGAAAACACGGCGCAACATAACAAAACACGCGAACTGCAAATCTGCGCGCGAGAGCCGCAGGAGAAGCTTCTTTTGTTCCGCGCGCGCCCGTTTATACATCAATTCATGCGCGTGGAAGAATCTCGCCGAAACAATGCGCACACACAAAATATCAACCATTTTTATTTCAATACTTTGAAATATATCAAGTGACAATATATTAACGCACACACCAGCCGAGTAGGTGTAAAATTTGTAAAAAAAAAATTGTTTTCATGCTGAATGTCAACATGGCTGCCGCGCTGAATGTATGCAACCCAAATTACACATGTGTACGTGTGGTGGCCAGGGCGTGGGTCGCATAATTAGCGATTCCGATCGATTTCGATCAAAATTAATTCGTAATAGAGATTATGCGCGGACTTGCGATATATCCCGTGTCGCGTAATCCAATCTAAGCACGCCGGCGTGCGTCTCTCATTGAGGTAGATTGACACTCGTTAAGGGGACCACGGGGCAGGAGGGATTTTTAGTGCACTGTTTATATGTGTGTGTGTGAGAGAGCGCGCGCGGTAGTCGTTCCTTTTGCGGGTCCCCGTGGCCATAGCGGTATTAGAAAGACTCCGCTTTTCCTCGACGTGTGTTGGTGTGCGTGCGGCGGTTGTAAATGCGCCGATGGAGTTTTACGGGGTGCGGAGGGGCGCGCATCGCATCGCACAGACGAGGGCCCTCCGCGTCGGGCATTGCGCGCGTCCCCGCCCGACGCTGCCGTGCGGAGAACGACCGCGTCGGGTTCTCGAACCGGCGGAACAAGCGACGCGCCGATGCTTGTTCCATCGGACAAAAACTTCAATCCGACCGGCGAGCACGAAACGAGCACGAAACCTCTCCGCGACGCGCGCGTTCCTTTTCCCACCCGTGCGTTTCTTTGCTTCTCGCTCTCGCGCACAGGCGTGTGTTATTTGGTCGAATAAAATATGTAACTTTGTCCGTGTAAAACTGCCTCTCTGCGCCGATGATATTTCACATTTACAGATTATGACGTCACCGCTTATTTTACCAACTTACCAACCCTCACGCTAGTGTTATGCATGTGTGTGTTGTGTGTGATGTTTGACTGAAAAAGGGAAGCGCGCCGATAACAACGATGCTTCTTCGACACACAAGCAAACAACAATCGGGCGACACAACCGACGATAATGATTTGCATACCGTACAGCTGGAGTGTACATCATATTGTTTGACAGTTGCGAATTGAATGCGAATACAGAAATAAAGCGTAGAACACAAAACGGCCGAGTTCCATTATGTAATTGCACACAATCGGATAAAATTTTCACTTTCAACGCCTTTTTTTATTAATTTATCATCATTATCATTAAGTGTAACACTTGTATGGGATTTGGCACGGAAGGTAGAAAGATCTAATGGGGATCGCCATGTGCCATGCTTCGGTACATATTTTGATACCTAGGAGAAAAAGTAGTAGGGATTTGATGCCTTTTTTTGCATATCGACTGTTGAGTATGTCTTTGATGCTATCCAAAATGGCTGCGCCTGTGCCATTTTCTTCTCCGTCACCGTCAGCACCTTCAGCGCCTTCAGCGTTAGCTGCTTCTTCGTCTGTGGGTTCTCCTTCGCGTTTGTCTCTTCCGGCAGGCCCTCCTTGTGATGTGCCTGCTGCGTCTGTATCAGGTTTTGCTTTGATGCCTCCTGGAGTAGGTCTTGGTGGCCCATTTGGGGTTTTGAAGCTTTTTCTGGTTTTGTGTCGGCTTCTGGGCCGGTTCCATCAGTTCCCAGTGGTCTACCTTGATCATCAGTTGTTGGTTTACCATCGGTACCTACAGGTCTTCCTTGGGAATCAGTTGCGGGTTTACCATCCGCACCTAAGATGCTTTTACGTTGAGCATCTGATGGTTTGCCATCAGATCCTATGGGTCTACCTTGAGCATCAGTTGCGGGTTTACCATCAGCATCTATGCTTTTACGTTGAGCATCTGATGGTTTGCCGTCTGATTTTATGGGTTGTCCTGAGGCATCAGTAGTAGGTTTGCCATCAGATCCTAATGGTTTACCTTGAGCATCAGTTGTGGGTTTACCATCGGCCCCTGCAGGTCTACCTTGGCTATCTGTTGTAGGCTTACCATCACCGCTTATTGCACTACCTTGAGCATCAGTTGGTTTCCCATCACCATCTAACGGTTTACCTTGCGCATCAGTTGCAAGTTTACCATCGGTGCCCAAAGGTCTTCCTTGATCATCAGTTGCAGGCTTACCATCAGACCCTAACGATCTACCTTGTGCATCAGTTGCAGGCTTACCATCAGATCCTAAAGGTTTTCCTTGAGTATCAGTAGCAGGTTTGCTATCAGATCCTAATGGTTTACCTTGAGCATCAGTTGTAAGGTTTACCATCGGCGCCTAAAGGTCTACCTTGCGCATCAGTTACAGGTTTACCATCAGACCCTGCAGGTCTGCCTTGGGTATCTGTTGCAGGCTTACCATCACCGGTTTTTGCACTACCTTGAGCATCAGTTGGTTTCCCATCGCCACCTAACGGTCTTCCTTGTGCATCAGTTGCAGGTTTCCCATCAGACCCTAACGGTCTACCTTGAGAATCAGTTATAGGCTTACCATCAGATCCTATTGATCTTCCTTGAGCGTCAGTAACAGGTTTTCCATCGGCTCCCAAGGGTCTACCTTGAGCATCAGTGGAAGGTTTACCATCAGACCCTAACGGTCTACCTTGAGAATCAGTTGTTGGCTTACCATCAGATCCTATTGATCTTCCTTGAGCGTCAGTTACAGGTTTTCCATCGGCCCCCACAGGTCTACCTTGTGAATCAGTTAACGGTTCACCATCATCAATTAGGCTTTTACGTTGAGGACCCGTTGATTTACCATCAGACTCTATTGGTCGACCAGAGGCATCAGTTAATGGTTTACCATCAGCTGCTAAACCTTTGCCTTGTGCATCAGTTAAAGGTTTTTCATCGCCTCCTAAGGATCGCGTTGGAGCATCAGTAGCAGGCTTACCATCAGATCCTAAAGGTTTACCTTGACTATCAGTAACAGGTTTACCATCAGACCCTAAAGATTTGCTTTGTGCATCAGTTGCAGGTTTACCATCACCACCAAGGCTTTTTGTGCCTTGGGCATCCATTGGTTTACTATCAGCATCTACTGGTCTGCCTTGTGCATCCGTTGTAGGTTTACCATCAGACCCTAAAGGTCTACCTTGCGCATCAGTTACAGGTTTACCATCAGCTCCCATGGGTCTACCTTGTGCATCAGAGGAAGGTTTACCATCAGACCCAATCGGTCTACCTTGAGCATCTGTGACAGGTTTGCTATCACCAGCAAGACTTTTTGTGCCTTGGGCATCTGTTGATTTACTATCATCCCCTATTGGTTTACCTTGTGTATCCGCTAGAGGTTTACCATCGCCTCCTAAAGAGCGCCCTTGAGCATCAGTTTGAGGTTTACCATCTGACCCCAATGGCCTACTTTGTGCATCAGTTGCAGGTTTTCCATCAGCTCCCAAGGGTCTACCTTGAGCATCAGAGGAAGGTTTACCATCAGACCCAATCGGTCTACCTTGAGCATCTGTGACAGGTTTGCTATCACCAGCAAGACTTTTTGTGCCTTGGGCATCCATTGGTTTACCATCATATCCTAACGGTCTACCTTGTGCATCGGTCGGAGGTTTACCATCAGTTCCTATTGCTCTGCCCTGTGCATCAATTGTTGGTTTACCATCAGACCCTAAAGGCCTACCTTGGGCATCAATTGCAGGTTTACCATCACCACCAATGCTTTTTCTATCTTCGGCATCCTTCGGTTTACCAGCATCCACTATTGGTTTACCTGGTGTATCCGCTGGAGGTTTACCTTTGGCTCCTAAGGAACCCCCTTGGGCATCAGCGGGTTTACCATCATCACCTATGCTTCTACCTTGGGCATCCATCGGTTTACTATCAGTCTCTATTGCTCTACCGGGAGTATCAGATATTGGTTTACCATCGGCACCTAATGGTCGTCCCTGAGCATCTGTTAATGGTTTCCCATCCGACCCTAAGGGTCTTCCCTGAGCACCGGTTATTGGTTTTCCATCAGCTCCCAACAACCTCCCTTTAGAATCTACTTTCAGGGGTTTTCCATCTGCTCCTATAGGTCTTCCCTGCTCATCGGTTAGGGGTTTACTATCGGCCCCTATGGATCTTCCCTGGGCATCTGTTAATGGTTTCCCATCAGCCCCTAATGGTCTTCCTTGGGCATCCATTAAGGTTTTACCATCATCCCCTAAGGGTCTTCCCTGAGCATCTGTTAATGGTTTCCCATCAGCTCCCAGCAACTTCCCTTTAGAATCAACCTTCAAGGGTTTTCCATCTGCTCCAATAGGTCTGCCCTTCTCATCTGTTAGATGCTTTCCGTCAGCCCCTATCGGCCTGCCCTGTGCATCTGTTATAGGTTTACCATCGGCCCCTAACGGTCTTCCCTGTGCATCTGTCAATGGTTTCCCATCAGCCCCTAATGGCCTTCCTTGTGCATCTGTTAATGGTTTCCCATCAGCTCCCAGCATCTTTCCTTTAGAATCTACCCTCAACGGCTTTCCATCTGCTCCGATGGGCCTGCCCTGCTCATCTGTTAGAGGTTTTCCGTCAGCCCCTAACGGCCTACCCTGTGCATCAGTTATGGGTTTACCATCGGCCCCTAAGGGTCTTCCCTGAGCATCTGTTGATGGTTTCCCATCAGCTCCCAGCAACCTCCCTTTCGAATCAACCTTCAAAGGTTTTCCATCGGCTCCTATAGGTCTGCCCTGTTCATCTGTTGAAGTTTTTCCGTCATCCCCTAACGGCCTGCCTTGTGCATCTGTTATGGGTTTACCATCAGCCCCTAACTGCCTGCCTTGTGCATCTGTTATTGGTTTACCGTCAGCCTTTAAGGGTTTTCCCTGAGCATCTGTTAATGGTTTCCCATCAGCTCCTAGCATCCTCTCTTTAGAATCTACCTTCAAAGATTTTCCATCTGCTTCTATTGGTCTCCCCTTCTCATCTATTAAAAGTTTTCCGTCAGCCCCTAACGGCCTGCCCTGTGCATCTGTTATGGGTTTACCATCGGCCCCTAAGGTTTTTCCCTGGGCATCTGTTATTGGTTTTCCATCAGCCCCTAGGGGCCTTCCCTGTGCATCCGTTATGGGTTTACCATCGGCTCCTAAAGGTCTTCCATGGGCATCTGTTAAAGGTTTTCCATCAACCCCTAAAGATTGTCCTTGTGCATCAGTTAATGGTTTCCCATCAGCTCCTAACAACCTCCCTTTAGAATCCACTTTCAAAGGTTTTCCATCAGTTCCTATAGGTCGGCCATGCTCATCTGTTAGGGGTTTATCGTCAGCCCCTACCGGCCTGCCCTGTGCATCAGTTATTTGTTTCCCATCAGGTCCTAATAACTTCCCTTTAGAATCTACCTGCAAAGGTTTTCCATCTGCTCCTAAAGGTCTTCCTTGTGCATCTGTTAATGGTTTCCCATCAGCTTCTAACAACCTTCCTTTAGAATCTGCCTTCAAAGGTTTTCCATCTGCTCCTATAGGTCTGCCATGCTCATCTATTAGAGGTTTACCGTCAGCCCCTACCGGCCTACCCTGTGCATCTGTTATTGGTTTCCCAGCAGCCCCTAAGGGTTTGCCCTGCTCATCTGTTAAAGGTTTACCGTCAGCCTCCAACGACCTACCCTGAGTATCTGTCATGGGTTTCCCATCAGCCCCTAATGGCCTTCCTTGTGCATCTGTTAATGGTTTCCCATCAGCTCCCAGCATCTTTCCTTTAGAATCTACCCTCAACGGCTTTCCATCTGCTCCGATGGGCCTGCCCTGCTCATCTGTTAGAGGTTTACCGTCAGCCCCTAACGGCCTACCCTGATCATCTGTTAGGGGTTTTCTATCAGCCTCTAAAGGTCTTCCCTGTGCATCTGTTAAAGGTTTCCCATCAGCTCCCAGCAACCTTCCTTTAGAATCTGCTTTCAAAGGCTTTCCATCTGCTCCTATGGGCCTGCCCTGTTCATCTGTTAAAGGTTTACCATCAGCGCCTAAAGGTCTCTCGTGTGCATCAGTTAATGGTTTCCCATCGGCCCCTAATGGTCTTCCCTGTGCATCAGTTATTGGTTTCCCATCAGCACCTAACAACCTTCCTTTAGAATCAACTTTCAAGGGTTTTCCATCTGCTCCTATTGGTCTACCCTGTTCATCTGTTAAAGGTTTTCCGTCAGCCCCTAAATGTCTTCCCTGTGCATCAGTTAATGGTTTCCCATCAGCCCCCAGTAACCTTCCTTTAGAATCAACCTTCAAGGGTTTTCCATCTGCTCCTATGGGTCTGCCCTGTTCATCTGTTAAAGGTTTACCATCAGCCCCCAAAGGTCTTCCCTGTGCATCAGTTAATGGTTTCCCATCAGCACCTAACAACCTCCCTTTAGAATCAACCTTCAAAGGTTTTCCATCAGTTCCTATGGGCCTGCCCTGTGCATCAGTTAAAGGTTTTCCATCTGCTCCTAAAGGTCTGCCCTGTGAATCAGTTAATGGTTTCCCATCAGCACCTAACAACCTTCCTTTAGAATCAACCTTCAAGGGTTTTCCATCTGCTCCAATTGCTCTACCCTGTTCATCTGTTAAAGGTTTTCCGTCAGCCCCTAAAGGTCTTCCCTGTGCATCAGTTAATGGTTTCCCATCAGCACCTAACAACCTTCCTTTAGAATCAACCTTTAAGGGTTTTCCATCTGCTCCTATGGGTCTGCCCTGTTCTTCTGTTAAAGGTTTACCATCAGCCCCAAAGGTCTTCCCTGTGCATCAGTTAATGGTTTCCCATCAGCACCTAACAACCTCCCTTTAGAATCAACCTTTAAAGGTTTTCCATCTGCTCCTATTGGTCTACCCTGTTCATCTGTTAAAGGTTTTCCGTCAGCCCCTAAATGTCTTCCCTGTGCATCAGTTAATGGTTTCCCATCAGCCCCCAGCAACCTTCCTTTAGAATCAACCTTCAAGGGTTTTCCATCTGCTCCTATGGGTCTGCCCTGTTCATCTGTTAAAGGTTTACCATCAGCCCCTAAAGGTCTTCCCTGTGCATCAGTTAATGGTTTCCCATCAGCACCTATCATCCTACCTTTAGAATCTACCTTTAAAGGTTTTCCGTCAGCCCCCAAAGGTCTTCCTTGTGCATCAGTTAATGGTTTCCCATCAGCACCTAACAACCTCCCTTTAGAATCAACCTTTAAAGGTTTTCCATCTGCTCCTATGGGCCTGCCCTGTTCATCTGTTAAAGGTTTACCATCAGCCCCTAAAGGTCTGCCCAGTGCATCAGTTAATGGTTTCCCATCAGCTCCTAATAACCTCCCTTTAGAATCTACTTTCACAGGTTTACCGTCAGCCCCTAACGGCCTGCCTTGTGCATCAGTTATGGGTTTCCCATCGGCCCCTAATGGTCTTCCCTGTGCATCAGTTATTGGTTTCCCATCAGCCCTCAGCAACCTCCCTTTAGAATCAACCTTCAAGGGTTTTCCATCTGCTCCTATTGGTCTACCCTGTTCATCTGTTAAAGGTTTACCATCATCTCCTAAAGGTCTGCCCTGTGCATCAGTTATTGGTTTCCCATCAGCCCCCAGCAACCTCCCTTTAGAATCAACCTTCAAGGGTTTTCCATCTGCTCCTATGGGTCTGCCCTGTTCATCTGTTAAAGGTTTACCATCAGCTCCTAAAGGTCTGCCCTGTGCATCAGTTATTGGTTTCCCATCAGCCCCAGCAACCTCCTTTAGAATCAACCTTCAAGGGTTTTCCATCTGCTCCTATGGGTCTGCCCTGTTCATCTGTTAAAGGTTTACCATCAGCTCCTAAAGGTCTGCCCTGTGCATCAGTTATTGGTTTCCCATCAGCCCCCAGCAACCTCCCTTTAGAATCAACCTTCAAGGGTTTTCCATCTGCTCCTATGGGTCTGCCCTGTTCATCTGTTAAAGGTTTACCATCAGCTCCTAAAGGTCTTCCCTGTGCATCAGTTAATGGTTTCCCATCAGCCCCCAGCAACCTCCCTTTAGAATCAACCTTCAAGGGTTTTCCATCTGCTCCTATGGGTCTGCCCTGTTCATCTGTTAAAGGTTTACCATCAGCTCCTAAAGGTCTGCCCTGTGCATCAGTTAATGGTTTCCATCAGCCCCAGCAACCTCCCTTTAGAATCAACCTTCAAGGGTTTTCCATCTGCTCCTATGGGTCTGCCCTGTTCATCTGTTAAAGGTTTACCATCAGCTCCTAAAGGTCTGCCCTGTGCATCAGTTATTGGTTTCCCATCAGCCCCCAGCAACCTCCCTTTAGAATCAACCTTCAAGGGTTTACCATCAGCTCCTAAAGGTCTGCCCTGTGCATCAGTTAATGGTTTCCCATCAACACCTATCAACCTCCCTTTAGAATCTACCTTTAAAGGTTTTCCGTCAGCCCCTATAGGTCTGCCTTGATCATCTGTCAATGGTTTTCCATCTGCTCCCAACAACCTACCTTTGGAATCAACTTTTAATGGCTTTCCGTCCGTACCAATAGGTCTACCCTGTTCATCTGCTAAAGGTTTACCATCAGCCCCCAAAGGTCTTCCTTGTGTATCTGTTATAGGTTTCCCATCAGCACCCAATAACCTTCCTTTAGAATCTACTTGCAATGGTTTACCATCAACCCCTAGAGGTCTTCCTTGGTCATCTGTTAAAGGTTTACCATCAGCCCCCAAAGGTCTTCCTTGTGCATCTGTCAATGGTTTTCCATCCGCCCCTAACAACCTCCCTTTAGAATCTACCTTCAAGGGTTTTCCATCTGCTCCAATGGGTCTACCTTGATCATCTGTCAATGGTTTTCCATCTGCTCCTAAAGGTCTGCCCTGCGCATCAGTTAATGGTTTCCCATCATCACCTATCATTCTCCCTTTAGAATCTACCTTCAAAGGTTTTCCATCTGCTCCAATGGGTCTACCTTGATCATCTGTCAATGGTTTTCCATCTGCTCCTAAAGGTCTGCCCTGTACATCTGTCAATGGTTTTCCATCTGCTCCTAACAACCTACCTTTGGAATCAACTTTTAATGGCTTTCCGTCCGTACCAATAGGTCTACCCTGTTCATCTGTTAAAGGTTTTCCGTCAGCACCCAAAGGTCTTCCTTGTGCATCTGTTATTGGCTTTCCATCATCACCCAACAACCTCCCTTTAGAATCTACCTTCAATGGTTTACCATCAACCCCTAGAGGTCTTCCTTGGTCATCTGTTAAAGGTTTACCATCAGCCCCCAAAGGTCTTCCTTGTGCATCTGTCAATGGTTTTCCATCCGCCCCCAACAACCTTCCTTTAGAATCTACCTTCAAGGGTTTTCCATCTGCTCCTATGGGTCTGCCTTGATCATCAGTCAATGGTTTTCCATCTGCTCCTAACAACCTTCCTTTCAAATCAACTTTTAATGGTTTGCCGTCCATCCCTATGGGTCTACCCTGTTCATCTGTTAAAGGTTTCCCGTCAGCTCCCAAAGGTCTTCCTTGTGCGTCTGTTATTGGCTTTCCATCATCTCCCAACAACCTTCCTTTGGAATCAACTTTTAATGGTTTTCCGTCCATCCCTATGGGTCTACCTTGTTCATCTGTTAAAGGTTTACCATCAGCCCCCAAAGGTCTTCCTTGTGCATCTGTCAATGGTTTCCCATCTGCTCCTAACAACCTTCCTTTCGAATCAACTTTTAATGGTTTTCCGTCCATCCCTATGGGTCTACCCTGTTCATCTGTTAAAGGTTTACCATCAGCCCCCAAAGGTCTTCCTTGTGCATCTGTCAATGGTTTCCCATCAGCTCCTAATAACCTCCCTTTAGAATCTACCTTCAAGGGTTTTCCATCTGCTCCTATTGGTCTACCCTGTTCATCTGTTAGTGGTTTCCCGTCAGCTCCTAAAGGTCTTCCTTGTGCATCTGTTATAGGTTTTCCATCAGCCCCCAATAACCTCCCTTTAGAGTCTACTTGTAATGGTTTACCATCTGCCCCTAAAGGCCTTCCTTGGTCATCTGTTAATGGTTTTCCATCAGCTCCTAGTAATCTTCCTTGATCATCTGCTATCGGTTTACCATCAGCCCCCAGTAGCCTTCCCTTGGAATCTACCTTTAATGGCTTTCCATCAGCTCCTAAAGGTCTTCCTTGATCATCTGCCAATGGTTTTCCATCCGCTCCCAACAACCTTCCTTTGGAATCAACTTTTAATGGTTTTCCGTCAATGCCTATGGGTCTACCTTGTTCATCTGTTAAAGGTTTACCATCAGCCCCTAAAGGTCTTCCTTGTGCATCTGTTATTGGCTTTCCATCAGCTCCCAACAATCTCCCTTTAGAATCTACTTTTAATGGTTTTCCATCTGCTCCTATGGGTCTACCCTGCTCATCTGTTAAAGGTTTACCATCAGCTCCCAAAGGTCTTCCCTGTGCATCTGTTATTGGCTGTCCATCAGCTCCCAATAACCTACCTTTAGAATCTACTTTCAATGGTTTACCATCAGCGCCAAGGGGTCTTCCCTGGTCATCTGTTATTGGTTTTCCATCAGCTCCTAGTAATCTTCCTTGATCATCTGTTAATGGTTTACCATCAGCCCCAGTAACCTTCCTTTAGAATCTACTTTTAACGGCTTTCCATCTGCCCCTAAAGGTCTTCCTTGATCATCCGTCAATGGTTTTCCATCAGCTCCTAACAACCTCCCTTTAGAATCAAGTTTTAATGGTTTGCCAGCAGCATCTACTAATCTCCCTCTAGAATCCATTAATAAAGGTTTTCCATCTGCTCCCAGACTCTTTGACCTTCGAATTGTTCTACTATCAGAGGCTATAGGTATTTCCTCGTCGCAGCAAAGATCACACACGTCAGGTTGATCAACTTTTTTAGTCTCTGTCTTAATAGTGGTTGGTATCTTCTGTGTTGTTGTTTGCTTTCCTCCTGGTGTAATTTCAGGTGCTGTGGTATCAGGTCCACAGCAAACATCACAAATGTCAGGTGGAGGTTCACTTGCAACAGGTTTAAGTTTTAGAGATGTTCTAGGTTCAATCGGAACAGACTTTTTCATAAACTGACCCGCTTTTCTTTCTCTTTCAAAATCTGATTCTTTTTTATTAAGGTTGAATTCCACGGATGATCGAACTTTACGTTTGGTTCCTGTAGAGGATAACTCACGATCAGTTATAGACCCGCGAGATTCCTGAGGCTTTGATTGTTGCTGGCTGGGTTGAGCAGTTTCATAAATTCCAAGTGGAGCTCTATATTGAGGTTGCTCAGGTGGTGAAGCAAATTCAGCAGGTTGTTCTTGTACTGGCTGACGAATAGGACTAACTTGTGCAGGTAAATTTGGTCTTTCTTCAATGTCATCCTTCATTTCTATTTTATCAGGATCAAAGTGTGGCCTTTCAGAATCCACTGGCAAATCTCCATCTTCAGCTGGTACTGAAACACCCACAGCACCTAATAATGATTCTCTATCTGATTCTAAACTGTGCTTTGAAGAAACAGGTTGTAAACTTTCTTCATCTGGTTCTATTTTAATTTCTTCTAAATCCACTCGTGTGGCATCCACGTCCTCGTCTGGTGCTAAAATTGTTAACGATGCCCTTTCAACTTCATGGACGCTTGGTGTTTTACTCGTATCTGAACTAGCCGTGGATCCTTCTGGATCTTTAACAAGTTTCACTGGCAAACTTTCCAGTTCTCGTTTTTCCTTTTCCATTTCACGAGATAATTTCGAAGGTGAGGCACTACAACAAGCATCACACATTTCGGCATCATCCTCAGGACCTTTTTTATCACTA